TTGGAAATTAAAAAGGCATTGGATTTCTCAATAGTTACAAGGAAAGCTAGAACAAAATGGAGCCAATGCATCAAAATCTTAGGGAAATCTTTATGCATCCAAAATATAAATCAAATTCTAATACAAGGTCTCAACATGTTTACTTCTCATTTATCTTTTCTCAGGAATTTCCTGGGGAAAAATGTTCCCCCAAAATAGGGAGTAAACCTCAAAAAAAGGCATGGATCCAACAAATAAGAAAGTCAAAGGAATCCCCAGGATGATGGTGAAGGGAGATCCCAGGACAACAGCTGTGCAGGAAGCACAGAGATCAACCAGTCCAGATGGGACCAGAGGAGGACAAGAAGAAACTGATGGCTACCTGGGGGTGTTTGCACAGAGAGAGATTTACCCTCTGATACAGAGTTAGGGATAGATTAATAGGAAATTAGGCAAATGAAAAAGACAGTTATTAATTCCAGGGAAAGCAAAAAGTTGTGAAAGAAAGAAAATGTAACCATAGCACACCATATTCTCTGCTGTGAATCATATTTATTAGTAATAAAAATGTGAGCACTGAATTCTGATCTCACCAATACTTAAGAAGTAAAATGTTGGAGGATGGGCAAAGGTAAGTATGTTTCAGTGTGCAAGGAGTTAGGGAGGTAAGAGAGCTAAATTCTCATTTTCCATAGTAGGAAATTAATAGATAATATTTGAATTGGAAAAAACTCAAGAAACAGCAGGATCAGACTGTTACTTAGAAATATGGAAACAAGTATCAGAAGTGGCTAAAATTATGTTGATGCTTCTAGAGAGGGGCAATAAGAGGTGGGAAGGGTGGAGCTGGGTACTGCTGGTTTCTATTATGAAGAAAAATGCACTACATGCTGATTACAGAAAGACTGGAAACTACAAAAAAGTAAATATGAGAATAAAAGAGTCCTTATATGCCATCTACCTAAAGATTAACACTATAAATCTATTAGTGCATTTTCTTTGAGTTAATGTGCATTTTATATTATTGGGGTATGACTTGTATATTTTATATTTTACTTTATTCACTTGACAAAAGCATTTTCCCATTTATTATGTTCTCATACATATTTTCAGAGCAATATATTATTTTGTAATAAATAATATTATGTATTTAGGTGTAACAATGTAGGCCTATTTTCCTAATATTTTATTTTGAAAAATTTCAGAAACAGGTGAAAGAATTATATAGTGAAAACCATATATCCATCACCATGGGATTACAATTAATGCTTTGCTATATACATCTTCTACCACACATTTATCAATCTATCCCTCTATCCATTCATTGATCTATTTTATTTATTGAGGCATTTCAAAGTAAATTGCAGGCTTTGGTAAACTTCATCCTAAACACTTCATCAGGCATACTATTGATTAGAGTTCAGTATCTGTTTATGGTTATTTTTCTTAAGTTTTACATACAATGATATGCATAAATATTAGGTATATCGTTTGATGAATTTCAAAAAATGGATAATCCTGTGAAAACTAAATTGCTATCAAGATGTAGATTACATTATACTCACCCCAGACAATTCCCTCATCCTCTCAATCCATATCCCTACCCCCTACATCGACAGAGGCAGTCAATGTCCTCATTTTTAAAATCTATTCCAAAATTTCATGTAAATGGAATGATACAAATGTATTTTTATATGACTTTTTGCACTTAGCATAATGTTGAGATTCATTCATTTGTGGAGTGTATCATTAGTTTGTTCTTTTATCGTGCTGAGTAGCATTCCTTTATACAAATATACAACAGTTTGTTTAATCTATTCTCTTGCTAATGGCACTTGGTCTGTTTCTAGTTTTTGCCTATTTTTAATAAAACTGTTATGAACCCTTCTATAAAAAGTTTTTGTGCAGTATAGGTATATGTTTTCATTTCTTTTGGTTAAATACCCAGCAATGAAATGATTCTACAATTAATGCTTTACACACTACAATTAATGCTTTACTATATACATCCTCTACCACACATTCTTGATTTACTTTACAATATTAAGAAATTTTCACCTCAGCATTTCTCAGGGTTAGAGAAACATGGCATTTGGTTTTAATTTTTACTAAGTCCTCCTGGCCAGGATTTTCTGGAATTGTTCCAAATCTTGACTGAACACTATAGCTGGAAGGAATAAATGACAGATTTCAGGTGCTACTTGTTGTCCTCAAATGAGTTAAAAATTTTGGGGGTATTTTTAGAGTAGTTGCAAACATATGATCTATATCTTGAGAGATGGCCAGTATTTTTAAAGTAGCCAATAAACAAAATGTATTTGTAAAACAATCTATTTCTCCAATATAAAAAATACTGCGCTCATTTCATTCCATTTGCATGATAAAGTGTGCTTCACTAGGGAAGAAGAGCTTTCTCTGATCCCTCCCTGTCAGCTATAATTGATCAAGCCTTACCCATTAATATTTGTATACTTATTTCATTAGTTCTCCCTACAAACACTATAAATTCTTCAAGTTCAACCTTTATCCTACATTATCCAGATAGCCTTTTGTGAGGACACTGAAGAGGATTTAAATTCTCACACTGGAATGTAATACTTTCAGTAAAGGATCATTTATTGCTATCAAAGCAGTAATAGTAGATTATTCCAACTTCAACTCCAAACTCTGCCACTTTCTATGCAATCTTTGGATTTTTTACAACTTTTTCTAAGTCATACATAAATAGAGATAAAAAGAGTCCCTACCTCATTTGGTTGTCGTGAGGAGATATGGTAAGGCATATAAAGGTTTGCAACAATTCCTGCCCTATTGTTATTATCATTGTTGTTATTGCCCAATAAACAATTGCCTAATTGGAGGGCTGGGTGAAAAAGGTGGAGAGATTAAAAATTACAAATTGGCAGTTACAAAATAGTCATGAGGATGTAAAATACAGGGTAGAGAATATAATAAATGATAATGAAATAATTAAGTATGGTGCCAGGTAGGTACTTGTAATATTAGTGGGATCACTTTATAAATTATATGGCTGTCTAACTACTATGCTCTACACCAGAAACTAATCTATAATAATAAAAGCGTAATATGCTAATTAGACCGGACAGCTGAACAACCTTCCAGACATCCTTCCGGATGACCTTCCGGATGAAGCCAGGGCTGCGAGGGCCGAGCCCCTTGCATGAATTTCGTGCATTGGGCCTCTAGTATAAAATAATATTGAATGTTAACAATTAAAAAAAAAGAAAACTGAGTTGCATAAAGATTTGCAAAGGTAACAGAGATAATAATTGAAAGAACTGTGGTTCAAACACAAGTTTTCTAATATCAATGCCTATGTGCTCAACCACTCAACCATATGGGTGTCTGGTTCTATTATTCTTTCTTTGTTGTAGTTTGAATATGCCACTTTTAACTTAAGCAATTAATAAAATGAAAGTGTTGTTTTAAAAGAAAAACAATTGCCTAAATCAGTTGTTGAATAAAATAATGCTATTTTGGTGGAAGAAAAAAACTCACAAATTACAAAAACAAGTTATAAAAATAATAATTGTAAGTTACAATAAATTCTATGAAAAAAAGAGCTAAGAAAGAGAATCGATGAGGAACCTATTTTATAGGGAAGGCTACTTGAAGGAGATAACATGTAAGTTGTGTCTTAAGAGATGAGAAGTAGCAGGTCACACAAAAAAATGGGGAGAACAGTATTCCAGGCAGAAGAATAACATGTACAAAGGTCCTGAGGCAGCCATGTCTGTGAACTTTCTATGAACCACAAGACCATGAGTGTGTTGGGACAGAGTGAGTAAGGGTAGAGTAGCATCAGATGCAATCACAAAGAGTAGAAAGTTTGGCTTTTGGGCTAAGTGCAAAGGGAAGACCCTGAAGGGTTTTAAACAAAAGAATGACAAGATCGTCAGACTTACTCTATCCATGACTCAGAAAAACAATTTGAAGGAAGGTAAGATAAAATAAACAATTTGAAGGAAGATATGAAAATATTTGGAACTTGTTTAGAGAAACTAAGAGTATTTAGGTAGAATACAATATTTTCCATCGTAATTGAAGTTATTGATTGCCAACAAACCAAAAATCCTTTTGGGATACTTAATAAGGATTTCACCCACTTTATTTCACACCTGTTATGAATATGCAAGGACTACTGTGACCCACTTAAAACAGAGGAAGACAAGAGTTAATGAGCTAGGGAGCAAGGGTTGGAGTAACTGAGAAAGATGGCCATAGTTGATAGCTCTGAGGGCACAGAATGGGAGCATGTAGCTGAGCTATGAAGACCACATTAGATGAGAGATGATTTGGAGGATGTTGTGGGATAGATTTCTTACAAAAAGGAAGGGCAGGATTCTAGTATAAAACTGTGAGACATAGTAAGATGTTGGACATTCCAGAATAAATGGTATAAGGAGACTTATAGAAAATGTAAATTTATATTTCAGATAATTATTGTTATAAGTCAATCTCCCCTTAGGGTAACATAGTTCTGCTATTGTAAGCTTCTTCCTGGAATGTTGGAGGGGTTAATTCTCTCTTGAAGCTCTTCATTCCCTTCATATTCTTTTTTTATTTGCTTCATATTAGTGACTCTCTTGGCACTAATTAAGACCACTGCCATTAATGTAATGAAGCATTTCTATTTTCATATGATATATTGAGTAATTAACAATATTTCCTCTCTTAAGGAAATTTATTCCTAAGGAAAAGCTTATGGGGAAATGCTGGCATGTTCAAATTTCCATCACCTGCTCACTGATGACAGATTGATTTAAAAGTGTACATAATAGCCGAGCTTTCCCAAATGTGTCAGTGTTGCTGTTTTTTGTAAAATTGTATTATTATGAGATAGTATGTGTCATAAGAACAGCTTTGGGGTTAGTTTTAACTTTTTTTCTTGGAGGATGAAGAATAGTTTATTAAATGTCAGATATAAACTTCATGACAAGTAATATCTTTCATTTCACAGCAGCTGATAGATAATAAGAGCAAAAATGGTGAATACCTACTGTTGCCAGGTAACTGCATCCACTGTGCTTCCTGCCACCTTCATGAACCTGTAAGGAAGAAAAATAAATTAGATATTGCAACTTGAAGCAAACCATATCTACAGAGTTAAAATGAAATAAGCTGAGACATACATAAATCAGGCCAATGCCTGGGTAGCTATGCTTTCTGAAAGTGTCCACAGCCCTTTTAAAAACATGGCCTATCCAACAGCTATTGAAGTTAAACTGTGCAGAAGGTAAAGGTAACTCTACTTTCAGCTTTCCACACATCCTTACCATCTGGAACTCAAGACCCTATAGGACATTATGCCTATGTCTGTCTTCCCAAGCCCATGCCTGATAGCTCCCACATCACTCTCACTATGATCAAAACTTATCTGCCCCATTTTGTATTCTCTAAAGACTCTGAGATTTGCTAGAAAACAAATAAAGGATGACATTTCCCAAGAATTAGAACACAATCGATGCCTCTGAAAAACCTCAGACCTCTCCTTTAGAAGAGGGCACAGGGAAACCCAATTTACTTATACAAGTATACAGCGCTATCAAATATACTCCTATGATGGGCTGGGAGATATGCCTTTCAACCCTGGGACCCTAAGAACCTTTCTTCAGACAGAAGCTGTCTTCAATCAGGACTTCATAACTAAAGAACTCTCTTACTAGGAAGGGAGACGGTGTTTTTCAGGAAGGCCCTATTCCTGCTCTACCCCAGCATCACCTTGCCAGGTGTACACGTAAGCAAAGGGGTTTTGCTTTGTCCAAACAGAGGTTCTGCATTGCCATTATGGTAGAAGAGGACTGAGTTTCTATAGGTCTAGAGAGAGGTAGAGAGAGGACACCAGGACTACGACTTAGCATTAGAGTGAAGTTTATAAAAGAAGATGAAGAGGAATGAGAGGAAGGAGACAGGAACTGGGATAGGGAGAGGAGAGGGGAGGGGAAGAGAGAAGCGGTTGGAGGAAGAGGGGTGGAGAAAAGGCTTGGGTGTTCTCTTTTCCACCCTGCCAAGTGCTCTTTCTAAGTCAATATGCATAGAATCAGCTACCTGCTTGAATAGAGAGGGGAAAACTGGAAAAAAATACAGGGAGAATAAAAACAGATTAGCATCTCAAATACTATCCCGGCCACGTACATATTCTAAGCAGTGGAGACCTAATAATAATCTTACAAGTAGGATCATCCAAAAATAAAGAGGGGGAGATAAAATTTTACACCCCTCCCAAGGATATTTTAAAAATTAGAAAACCTAGACAACCTTAGATATAAGTATTTTTTTTTAAATCCTCACCCAAGGATATTCTTCCATTGATTTTTAGAGAGAGTGGAAGAGAGGGGAAGACAGAGAAAAATATCAATGTGAGAGAAACACATCAGTTGGTTGCCTCCCGCATGAGCCCCTCCCAGGGCCCTGGGCCGGGGAGGAGTCTGCTACCCAGGTACCATGCCCTTGACCAGAATTGAACCCAGGACCCTTCAGTCTACAGGCAGACGGTCTATCCAGTGAGCCAAACTGTCTAGGGCTAAGTATCATTTTTTAAAAAGAAACAAAATATTTAAAATACATTTACATGAGCTTACTCCTCCAAAATAATTTCTAAAATCTCTGAAACAGAAATACTATTTTATATAAAGCTGTCTCCATTTACATATAAAAATAACCATAATGAAAATAACACTGACATTTATAATGCTTTCTCACTGTAAATTTTTTTTCAGCTTTGTATGTGCATAACTTCACATAACCCTGAAAACAACCTGAGTAGGCAGATATTTCTAATTTATAGTGGAGGAGGCTGAGTCTCATAGAGGTTATGTACTAGCTCAAATTCATAGAGCTCATTACTAAACCCAGGTTCTCTGATTTCAAATCCTACCCTCTTTTCTAGGATCCTGTGCTGCCTCCAAGCTGTTTTCACTGAGGCCAAGAAGTGCAGTATAACTCCTACATGCAAAAATAAGTTAAATTTTGACTTGAGAAAATACTACCATATTTATCAGAAAAGGCATAAAGGCGTGAGCATCTTCTTTGCCTGCTGGCTTCCTCTCATAGACTTTAGCATTTCCATGCCTGTTTGTAAGACAAGGCGCTAAAGAAGGTATCAAAAGGTGACTGACTCATGGCCTCTGCTATAAGACAACCACAATAAAGTCAAGAAGACAGACACTGAGACAATTAGCTATCAGAGTCTCTATGTGTGCACTAGTGGTACAAACTAACTGTTATGAAACAGCAGTAAAGGGAGCAGTTAGTTCTACCTTCTCTGGTGTTAGAAGAGGGCTAAGCATTGAGAAAAGCTTCACATCACACATGACATTGCATCTGGCATTGAAAGAAGGGTAGGATTTTGCCATGAAGAGGGAGGTATAGAACAGCTTCAGCAAAGCAAGGAAGAGTCAAAATGAGTGTGTTCTCAGTAGTCCAGTGTGGCTGGATGTCAGGGAAAAGATAAGGGAGTGGCAGGAGGTCAGATGAGCCTGTGATGCTAGTGTGTCTGGCCTTTATCATGTAACAATTAGGTACACTTCCCTGTCCTATTTATCTTTGTATCACTAGCACTTAACATATTAATTATAAAATACAGCTAGCTCAATTTTCATGTATATATTTGTTGGATTTACCCTGTGTTTAAACAAGAGAGGGAGTGTCAGAATCAGATACAAGTTTTAGGAAGCTCACTCTGCTTATGGTAAACATTATAGGTATAGGTGTGGACTAATTGACAGGAGATGAATGTAGAAGTTGGGAGACTTTGAAACGTGAGAATGAAGAAAAGACACAATTGAGAAACACTGCTGGAGCATCTAAGAGGACCTGACAGGTGTGTTTAAATGGGGGGAGAGAGAGTACCCCAAAGTTTAAAAGTTTTTTTAAATTTTTTCAATAACACTGAATGTGATTTTTTAACTGATTTGAGGGGGAAAGAGACAGACAGACAGACACACACACACACACACACACACACACACACAGAAAGAGAGAGAGAGAGAGAGGGACACTTATTTGTTGTTCCACTTATTTATGCATTCATTGGTTGATTCTTATATGTGCCTTGACTGGGACCAAACCTGAGACCTTGGTGTATGGCATGACACTCTAATCAACTGACCTACCTGGTCAGGGACTCAATATGATTTTATATTAGTTTCAGGTGTACAGCATAGTAGTCATATAATGATATGCTTTATAAAATGTTCCTCTGACATTTCTAGTACCCATCTGGTACCATACATAATTATTATGATATTATTGACTATATTCCCTATGCTGTACTTCACATCCTCTTGACTATTTTGTAACTATTAATTTGTACTTCTTAATTCTTCACCTTTTTCACCCAGCCTCCCAATCCCTCTCCTCTCTGGTAACTGGACCCTGAACATTTTTTTAAAAATATATTTTTACTAGAGGCCTGATGCACAAAATTCGGGGCTTGGCCCTCACAGCCCCAGCTTCGTCCGGGAGGTTGTCCAGACGGTCATTCTGCTGTTCGGCCATCTGGTCTAATTAGCATATTATGCTTTTATTATTATAGATTGATTTCAAAGAGGAAGGGAGAGGGATAGAGAGATAGAAACATCAATGATGAGAGAGAATCATTGGCTGGCTGCCTCTTGCACACCAGGGGGCCGAGCCCACAACCTGGGCATGTGCCCTTGACTGGAATCGAACCCAATACCCTTCAGTTCCCAGGCCAATGTTCTAACACTGAGTCACACTGGCTAGGGCTGAACCCTGAACTTTTAATTGCAATAATGTTTTTGCTCATATGGGCAACCAGGGAACAGACTTTTGAGGCTGATATTGGTGAACGTATTACAATCCTTCTGGCTTTGTCTCAGAGAACTTGAAGTAAATAGTTACTGATGGTAAGTTATGCATTCACAGAAAATTAGGAGGAAAAATTTAACATCAATGCCTTGTTTGGCTAAAAGGCGTTGGACAGACAATAAAGAATACATCTAATTTGGCATTTTGGAAGTTAGAAAATGGTCCTTTATGATACTATAATCTGAAGATACTCATATGCATTGGATAGTTTGTTCTACTGTAGCTTGATAACTAAGTCCTTAAATACCCTTCCGTTATCAAATGCAGCATTATAAAAAGAATGAGTAAACTAGAGTTAGGAACATTTAAAGTGATGCTAATGTTTTCTCCCCACACCTCTCAAAGAAAATCTATAATATCAATAATTATAAATTAATGGACCCATATATAGAATATTATATAGTTTACAGAGCAATATTTTAAAATTGAATATAGGAAAAGACTTACCATGCTCCTGAACAGGAAAATCAATTATTATTCTTAAACTAATTTATGGGTTTAACAAGATTCTAATAAAAAATGCCAGCAGATAGTTTTGAAACTTTATAAAATCATTCTAACATTCATCTGAAGAAGCCAACAAAATCCTAAAAAATTGGAATAATGAAGGGATATTTATTTGATGTACCATTTATTAAAATACACCATAAAAATTGCAATGATTAAAATATTCCTAGCTCTGAAATTAGTAAATAGATCTATGGACCAGAAAAAGAATATTTTTAGTGTACATATAAGAATTTATTACAAGAAAAAAATCAGTATATAGAAAAGCCAAAGCATTTTTAATATGGATTTATGGCTATCTAAAAAAATTAAAATCAGATCCTCATTTAATATCTTATCTTATATAATAAAGAGGTAATATGCAAATTAACCTTCATGTCCTCACAAGATGGCTGCCTACGACCAGGCCAGCAGGGGCGTTAGTGAGGGATGACCAAACGATTGAACAGCAGGTTGCGTGGGGCGACCAGGCTGTCAGGGGAGAGGGGAGCGTGAGGGGCAAAAAGGCCGGCGGGGGGGGGCAGTTGGGGGCGACCAGGTCAATGGGGGGGCAGTTAGGGGAAACCAGGCCAGCAGAGGGGGGCAGTTAGGGGTGAC